CTCTTCTCAAGTGGACATTCTTCTCAAGTTTACATGAGACATTCTCCAGGACAGATCATATGTCAGGGCACAAAATAAGCTACAACAGATTTTATAAGACAGTTATCATAACAAAATGCCTGCTGTGACTAGAAAAGGATAAAGTTAGAAATCAGTAGAAGGCAAACTGGACAATTCACAAATATGGAGAAATTAACGACACACTTTTTAAACAACCAATTGGTGAAAGAAGAAATTAGACAGGAAAATAGAAAATAGAGATGAATGAAAATGAAAACACAATATAACAAAACTTATAAGATGCAACAAAAGCAGCGGCAAGTGGGAAATTTGCAGCTATAAATGCTTACATGAGAAAAGAAAGATCTCAAATAGACATCCTTATTTACAACTTAAGGAACTAGAAAAAGAAGAACAAACTAAGCCAAATGACAGCAGTAGCAGAAGGAAGGAAATAAAGGTTAGACTAGAAATAAGCAAAAAAGAGAACAGAAAAACAGTACAGAAAATCAATAAAACCAAAAGCTGATTCCTTGAAAAGATTAACAAAAACTGACAAATCTGCAGCTAGGCTGACAAAGAAAATAAGACACTAAGACACAAGTTGCAAATAACCAAAATCAGAAAAGAATGTGGGAACATTAGTACCAACCTTCAGAGATAAAAAGGAGCATAAGGGAATTCTATGAACAATTGTATACCAAAAGTTAGATAACTTATAAGAAAGGGACAAATTCCTTGGAACACACAAGTTACCTAAACTGATGCAAGAAGAAATAGAAAATTTCAACATTCATAACAAGTACAAAGATTGAAGGAGTAATCAAAAACCTCTCAATGAAGTAAAGTCCTAGACCAAAAAGCTTCACTGGTGAATCTCACCAAATATTTAAGGAAGAATGAATACCAATCCCCCTTAAACTCTTCCAAAAAATTGAAGAGAAGGGAACACTTATAACTCATTCTATGAAGCAAGCTTTACCCTAATACCAAAGCTAGATAAAGACCCTCCAAGAAGAAAATTAAAGACCAATATCTCTTATGAATACAGATACAAAATCTTCAACAAAATATTGGCAAATCAAATCCAACAGCATGTTAAAAAGATTATTCACATTAAAGTGTTATTTATTCCATAAATGCAATGGTGGCTTACCACAAGAAAGCTGATCATTACAATATATCACATTAATACAACAAAGGGGAAGAAACACATGATCATTTCAAATGATGCAGAAAAATCATTAAACATAATCCAGCACCCTTTTATTATTAAAAAAAAAAAAACCCTCTCATAAAACTAAGAATACAGGGAAAATTCCTTAACACCATAAAGGGTATTTGGGGAAAACCCAAAGCTAACATCATATTTATTGGTGAAAGACTGAAAGCTTTTCCCTTAAGATCCAAAACAAGAGAAGTACACCCACTTTCACCACTACTATTCAACACTGTACTGGAAGTTCTAGCCACAGCCATTAGACAACTAAAAGAAGTAAAATGCATCTAAATTGGAAAGGAAGAAGTAAAACAATCTCTACTCACAGATGACATGATCCTATACAGATCCTAAAAAAATCTGCAAGAAAACTAGTCATGCTAATAAACTAGCAGCAAAGTTGTTGGGTACAAGATAAACACATAAAAAGCTATTGCGTTTCCAAATACCACCAAGGAACAATCTGAAAAGTATATTAAGAATGCAATTCCACCCCCCTTTCCCCTGGCTGGTGGAGGCCGCACGATGCCTGGGGTTCCTGCCAAAGACATGAACCAGCAGGAGTTAGTCAGAGCTCTGGCCAAGCATAAAGAGCTTGCTCCCTATGATGAGAACTGGTCTACACCCAAACTGTCCACAGCATGGCATTTGTACCTCCGGGGTGGCACTGGGGTCTGCTCCTTGACCAAGATCTACCCAGGACGTCAGAGAAACGCAGTCATGCCCAGCCACTTCAGTAGACTCCAAGAGCGTGGCCCGCAAGGTCCTCCATGCCCTAGAGGGGCTGAAAATGGTGGAAAAGGACCAAGATGGGGACCGCAAACTGACACCTCAGGGACAGAGAGATCTGGACAGAATCACCCGACAGATGGCAGCTGCCAATAAGAAGCATTAGAACAAATGCTGGGTTAATAAATTGCCTCATTTGTAATCCTGAAAAAAAAAAGAAAGCAATTCCTTTATGATAGCATCTAAAAGAATTAAAAACTTAAGAATAAATCTAACCAAGGAGGTGAAAGACTTGTACACTAAAAACTATAAAGCACTGTGTAAAGAAATATAAAAGGGACCTAAATAAATGGAAAGACATCCCATGTTGATGGATAGGAAGACTTCTTGTTCATATGTCAATACTACCCAAAATAATCTAAAGATTCAATACAATCTACCAAAATTCCTAAAATCTTTTTTGCAGAAACGGAAAAGCTGAACCTCAGATTCCTCTAAAATTGCAAGGGATCATGAGTAGCCGAAACAATCTTGAAAAGAAGAATAGAGTTGGAGTATTTACACTTACTGCCTTGAAAACATACTACAAAGCTACTACCGTAATTAAAACAATATAACTGACCAACATTAACAAAAAACTGATCAAAAAATGGGCAAAGCACTTGAAAAGACATTTCCCCAAAGAAGACAGACAAATAGCCAATAAGCACATGAAAAGGTGCCGAACAACACTACTCATTAGGGAAATGCAATTCAAAACCACAAGGAGATACTACCTCATATCTACTAGGATGGCTGTTATCAAAGACAAAAACAAAAAATAACTAGTGTTGGGGTGCTTAGTCAGTTGAGCATGGGACTCTTGATTTCAGCTCAGGTCATGACCTCAGGATCATGAGATCAAGTACCATGTCAGCTCCGCAAGCTCAGCAGGGAGTGGGCTTGAGATTCTCTCCCTCTCCCTTTGCCCCTCCCCAACTCCCGCCCCCAACACCCCACTCACACATGAGCGCACACTCTCTTTCTCTCTCTCAAATAAATCAATAAACCTTTAAAAAAAATAAAAAGGATTTGGTAAAACTGAAACTGTTATGCATGTTGGAGGGAATGTAAAACATGAAAAAGAGAATAGCAGTTCTCAAAAATTAAAAAGGGAATTACTAAATGATCCAGCAAATCCAATTCTGGGTATATATACCCAGAAGAACTGGAGGCAGAGTCTCAAAGACTTATTGTACACTCATATTCATAATAGCATTATTCATAACCGACAAAATGTGGAAGCAATCCAAATGTCCATTGACAGATGAGTGGATAAAAACAATGTGGTATACATATCCAGTGGAATATTACTCAGCCTTAAAAGGAAGTAAATTCTGAACATGTTACAACACAGATGAACCTTGAGGACAACTGCTAATTGAAATAAGTCACTCACAAAAAAGCTAATACTGCAATTTCCACATATATGTTACCTAGAGTAGTCAAATTCATAGAGACCTAAAGTAGAAGAGCAATATAAGAATTCCTGAAACTCAACAACAACAAAGCAAACAACATAATAAAAGACGGGCAAAGGACTTGAACAGACATTTGTCCAAAGAAGATATACAAATGGCCATAGGGATGCCATTTTATTAATCCTATATTAATCCTATATTAATATAGAATATATTAGGATATATATTAGGATAATCTTAAGAATGAATGCTGTTGGAGCGCCTGCTGGCTCAGACAGTGGAGTGTGTGACTTTTGATCTCAGGATTGTGAGTTTGAGTCCCATATTGGGTGTAGAGATTTCTTTAAAATAAATTTTTTAAAAAATGTATGCCGCAGGGAAAACTGGATACCCCATGCAAAAGAATGAAACTGGACCCTTGACTTAGAAAAGATCAAGAGTCGCACACTCCACTGACTGAGCCAGCAGGCGCCCAACAGCATTCAATCTTAAGATTATCCTTTCTTCATTGAACAATCATAGCTTTCTTGTTGAAAATCAATTGACCATATATGCAAAGTTTTATTTCTGGGCTTTCTGTACTATTCCATTGGTTTATGTGTGTATCCTTAGGCCAGTTACATATATATTTTTTTAAATTTTTAGTTGTAGTAAAATACATATAACATAAAATTTACCATCCTTACCATCTTTTTAAAAGATTTTGTTTACTTGAGAGAGAGAGAGCACAGAGGGAAAGGGAGAAGCAGACTCCCCGCTGAGCAAGGAGCCCCATGCAGGGCTCAATCCTAGGACCCTGGGATCATGACCTGAGCCGAAGGCAGATACTTAACCGACTGAGCCACCTGCCCCTGTTTAATTGTTATATAGTTTATGCTGAAGATGATTTTTTAAAAAGTTTTGGAATAGAGAGTGGTAATGGAAACACCACTATCTTGTGAGTGTATTTAATGCCTCTGCATTATACATTCACAAATGGTTAAAACGATAAATATTATGTTATGTATATTTTACCACAATAAAATAAAGAACAGAAAAAACTAAAACCAAGAGCTGATTCTTTAAGAATGTTTTTTTAAATAGTCAAGATAGCCAAGAAAAAAATATATAAATCAGCAGTGAATTAAGAATGAAAATAATCAGGGGCGCCTATGTGGCTCTGTCAGTTAAGTGTCTGACTCTTGATTTTGGCTCAGGTCATGATCTCATAGTTGTGAGATCGAGTCCTACATAGGGCTCCTACAAAGGGCAGGTGGCTCAGTGTGGTGTCTGCTTGAGATTCTCTCTCCCTCTGCCTCTGCCCCTCCCCTCACTCATGCGTGCACTCTCTCTCTCAAAATCAATCAATAACATTTTTTAAAAAGAATTAAAATAATCAATAATACTAACAATATTTAATATCACAAAGAAATAAATATAGGAATAGGTACAGGCTAATAAATTTCAAAAACTAGAAAATACAAAATGACAAAAGCTGGTACAAGAAAAAATAGGAAGCTTAAAGAGACCAAGGAACATTAAAGAAATTAAAATACATCAAATATCAGTCTCTAAAAAATTCTCCAGGTTTTGATGGTTTTATTTGTGAGATCTAATAAGGTTTCAAGGAATACATTCTTAAATACCCTCACAAGCTCAGAAAGAGGTTCAGAAATATAAGGGAAAGCTCATGTACACATGTGTACACCCAAGTGTGCACATGCACAGATGTGCACACACGCAGACACACACAGCTCAGCTCACCAATGGATGGGTCCTGGAAGACAAAGCTCTCTGCTAATGACCCATCTTGATTTAGATGCTTCAGCACCTTGTACACATCCACTAACTTTCCCAAGTCTTCCTTGTCTTTAGGTATTACAAGGTTCAGTGCATCTCTTTTCTCAGCCCAGCTATGGGATTTGTTGAGGGAAAAAAAATGAGAAAATAATAATAATTAATTCAAAATTAAGAGATTTTATAATAAATTTTAAAAGCACATCTCAAATATTGTGACTTTATTATGTACCAGGGCCTAGAATAAGGAATTAAAAACATTATGACCGGGCGCCTGGGTGGCTCAGTTGGTTAAGCGACTGCCTTCGGCTCAGGTCATGATCCTGGAGTCCCTGGATCGAGTCCCACATCGGGCTCCCTCCTCGGCAGGGAGCCTGCTTCTGCCTCTGACCCTCGCCCCTCTCATGTGCTCTCTCTCTCTCATTCTCTCTGTCTCAAATAAATAAATAAAATCTTTAAAAAAAAAAATTATGACCATTAATCTTCCCAACTATCAATACTTATCAAATATGAACACCTCCCCCACCTCCAATTATACAGATAAAACCAGCTCAGAGAAGTTAAGTTACATGACTTCCCGAAGTCATGCAATTGGTAAATAATAGAGTTAGGGTATAAGCTCAGGTAGGTGTAACCCCAAAACCAATGCTTTTAATCACTAAGCTATAATTGCCTCACAGATCAGCAAACACGTCAGCAAGATCTAGTTGAGTAAGTTGGGAAAGAAGATAAGTACATCCACACCCAGTCAGCTAGATATAATCTTTCTGAAGGAACCCTGCTAGTCTAGAATTTGGCAATTTTATTCCTATGACTTAGCCCCCAGAAAAAAAATCAGAAAGCATGCAAAGATGTTTTAACAAATTGTTCACTAAAGCATTTTCCATGTATTTAAAATGTTCAAGGAAAGGAAATTTATTAAATTATGACACAGCTACATAATAAAAAAATAGCACCCATTAAAATGATAAAGAAATCTGTATTCACTAACAGAATAGCATTAGCTACCAAGGCATTATTACGACCCAATTTTGGTTAAAACTTAATTTAACTAAATTTGGTTAAAAGAAATATATATATATTTTGGGTCAGTGTATGCAAAAAAAAAAAAAGTCTGTACACAGACATCATGATTATCTCCACTGGGTAGATTATGAATGCTTTTTACTGTCTTTATTCCTACATCTGTCATGTTGCTGCCAACCCTGCTCTCATGCTGGTAATCCCCTTCCAGCTTCCTGTGAAAACATGGAAACACAGCAATTTGCTTCAAGGAGAGCTAGAGCCATTCACTGTCCATGTACTGAATACTCTAAGGCTCTAAGCTAATCAAGGTGGTTCTGCCCTCCCTTGCCAGTGACTTGCTTCAGAATGGTCATGTAATGCAATTTAGGCTAGACATAAGCTTACTGGGAGATATCAGTAAAGATTTTTTCAATGTTACCAATAAAAGTAAGAGATGGCTCTTTGGCTATATATTGTGCTATGTCTAAACAGGACACCTAAAACTATTAAAGACATTTTGGTTGAAGAGAGTTAATCTGAGGAGAAGCAGATATGTTAACAGCAGCAAAAGAAGATAAAAACAACCTGAGTTCATAATATTGTTGAGCCTCTCGATCAACCAGCCCTAAAACTGCCTGAACTTGGGATTTTTCACATGTGACATTACATTTTCCTGTTCAAGTTATTACCTTCTGGGGCGCCTGGGTGGCTCAGTCAGATAAGTGTCTGCCTTCGGCTCAAGTCATGATCTCGAGGTTCTGGGATCAAGACCCGTGTTGGGCTCCCTGCTCAGGGGGGAATCTGCTTCTCCCTCTCCCTCTACCCCTCCCACCCCGCATGCTTGCTCTCTCTCTCAAATAAATAAAATCTTTAAAAAAAAAAAAAGTTATTACCTTTACCAAAAGTATCTCTAGCTACTTTAAAAATATTTCTATATAGCCTTAATTTTGTTTGCAAGGTGAATGCATGGTTTTCACATCTGTTTATCTGTTTACTGGTTGTTTTTTACTGCTCTAGCCTAGCTCCAAAAACCAGTGTCTAACACATGAAAAGTAATTCCTAAATATTTGCTGAATGTTAAGAACATGAATAAATGGGGCAGGCAGTGATGAAACCATTGTCATTGTTCCAAAATTACTTCTCAATCAAACTTATTTGAGAAACAATAAATTTCTCAAGGACTTTGAGGAAACTATCCAGGAGTCTTAACAGGTCAGGCAGCTGAGCTGACCAGGGAGAGTGCTGTGAATTGAGTTGTGATCAGACCCTAGAGAAGCAGCGAGGAGACACAGAGCCTGCCCTGGAGTCCTATGCAGCCAGCTGAAGAGGTGAGCACTCTTAGTAAAGTAACTGTCCCCTTCCCCCCAACCTCAAAAACCCTGGATTCATGCCCTAACTGTCCAGGTACTACCCATCACACCAGGGAGAATATATGGAACAGTTAACAATAGGGAAAGTCCAAAACAGGACTGGGCAAAATGAGCAACAGCGAAGTAAGCATGTGAAATGTCAAGTTCACATTTTTTGAGCATGAACAATCAAGGGCTAGGGCTAGGCAAGTGAGACAGCTTTCTAAGTCTTATCAAGCCTTTGAGCAGCCTAGATTTTACACAGACTCTAAAAATAGACCACAACTGGAAATACAAGTGCAAACAAAGGTTTCTAGGCAGAAGCTATACAAAGACAATTTCAAAACAGAAACTACTGGGGAAAGACTGATGAGATTAGACTGGCTAAAGTAGAGGGTGTGTGTAGGGGAGCAGCAGGATTTAAAGCTCCAAGTGGCTAGGGGCCACATAAAGAAGGGCCATAGCCTCCAACCTGCCCTAGCAACTCTTCCCTCACACTCTCACTGGAAAAGATGAGAAGGGCTGAAGCCAATCAGGGCAGATCGTAGGAACCAAAGTAACAGTAATTACTATCATTTTTAGGCAGAACTAAATTTTTGAATTACATCTTTAATAATTATACGTTTATTCATGTTTTCAGATTTGGTAATTTATATTTTTCTAAGCTATTTTATTTCATTTAACTTCTCAAAATTATCAGCATATAATTATATGCTAGATGTAATTATAGCATATAATCAGCATAAAATCCATTATTAATAAAAAAATTTTAGTTATGATAAAATACATATAAAGCTTACCATTTTAACCATTTTTAAGTGTACAGATCAGTAGAGTTACCTCTGTTCACACTGATGTGCAAACAATCTTTGCACATTTTTTACATCTTATTTTAAAAATGAAACTCTATTATCCATTGAACAACAATTCCCCATTTCCCTCTCTCCTGCTGGCCCCTGGAAAATACCATTCAACTTTCTGTATTTATGAATCTGACTATTCTATATACCTCATGTAAGTGGAATCATGCAACATAAATCTTTTTATGACTGGGTTATTTTACTTAGCATAATGTCCTCAAGGTTCATCCACATCATAGCATGTACCACATATAATTTCCTTCCTCTTTAAGGCTAAAAAACATACCACTGTAGTGAATACCATATTGTGTTTTATCCACTCATCTGCCAATGGACACTTGGATTCTTTCCACTTTCTGACTACTGTGGAATAATACTGCTAGGGAACGTGGGTATACAAATAAGTCTGTAAGACTCTGCCTATAGTTCTTTGGAATTGTTAGATCACATAGGAATTCTATTTTTAATTTTCTGAGGAACTGCCATACTGTTTTCCATGGGCGCTACACCATTTTACATTCCTACCAACAGAGCACACAGGTTCCAATTTCCTCACATCCTTGCAAATGTTTGTTATTTTCTGATTGTTTTATAGTTTTTTGTTTTTGTTTGTTTTTTAATAGCAGCCATCCTAATGCATGTGAGGTAGTATCTCACTATGGTTTCAATTTGCATTTCTGTAATGATTAGGGCATACTGGGCATATTTTCATAAGTTTGTTGGCCATTTGCATATCTTCTTTGCCTAAATGTCTATTCAAGTCCTTTGACCATTTTTGAATTAGGATGTTCATTTTTAAATTCATTATATGTATAGTTACGTCTCAATTTTTCCTTTTAATAATGCTTATTTGTATTTCTTCTTTTTTCTTGACCAACTCAGCCAGATGATTAGTTATTTTGTTAATGTTACAAACATTACTAACTTCTGGTTTTGAGGATTCTCTAAATTGTAACCACCCCCCTCCCCCGCCGCACTTCATTAATTTCTGCTTTATCTTAATTGTTTCCTTTCTTCTACTTTCTTGAGGGTTTTCTCTGTTGTTATTTTTCTAACTCTTTGATTTAGACACTGTAGAAATAGAAGACTGTAAGTCCCACAATTGCTAACTCAATGTGTCTACAAAAATATAAATGAACTCAGGGGTTGTTGGCAAGCCTCAGTTAACAGCATGAAAGAACTCTGAAAGCAAAGAAGACTCTTACAGATATTTTGAAAAGACAAATCATATTGTGATTACAGTTAATTAGATCAATAAGGAAAAGGTCTCCAAATCTTTATTATCTATTCTTACAAAGTTTAATTTATATCTATCCTTATTTTTTTTTTTTTTAGAGAGAGAGAGAGACAAAGTGTGAGCAGGGATGGGGCAGGAGCATAGGGAGAGGGAGAGAGAGAATCTTTTTTTTTTTTTTTTAAAGATTTTATTTATTTATTTGACAGAGAGAGACAAAGCGAGAGAGGGAACACAAGCAGGGGGAGTGGGAGAGGGAGAAGCAGGCCTCCCGCCGAGCGGGGAGCCTGATGTGGGGCTTGATCCCAGGACTCTGGGATCATGACCTGAGCCGAAGGCAGACACTTAACGACTGAGCCACCCAGGGGCCCCAGGGAGAGAGAGAATCTTAAGCAGACTCCCTGCCCAGCACAGAGCCCCATGTGGGGTTTGATCTCACGACCATGAGATCATGACCTGAACTGAAATCAAGAGTTGGACGCTTAATTGACTGAGCCACCCAGGTCCCCTTATCTTTATTCTTTATCTTGTCATTATATGTAATCAAGGTTCTAAGTCATGATGAAATGCTTGTTATAATTCCAAAATATATTTAATTTATAACTTTGAGTCTATACGTGTTTGCTATAGCAAAGGAAGTTTTTTTTGTTGTCATTAAAGATTTTATTTATTTATTTGACAGAGAGAGACACAGCGAGAGAGGGAACACAAGCAGGGGGAGTGGGAGAGGGAGAAGCAGGCTTCCCACAGAGCAGGGAGCCCAATGCGGGGCTCGATCCCAGGACCCTGGGATCATGACCTGAGCCAAAGGCAGACACTTAACAACTGAGCCACCCAGGCGCCCCGCAAAGGAAGATTTAAAAAAATAATTGTATAGAAAAGGTGTATGCTCATTAAAGATGTAAACTGCGTTTGTCATAAGAGATTGATTTTCTTTCTGATAATAAAAATAAAAATCATTTTAAACATTCAAACCATAGGGGCTCCTGGGTGGCTCAGTCAGTTAAGCACCTGACTCTTGATTTCGGCTCAGGTCATGATCTCAGGGTTGTGAGATCTGAGTACCACATGAGGCTCCAAGCTCAGCCGGAAGTCTGCTTGAGAATTTCCTCTCTCCCTCTTCCTCTCCCTCTGCCCCTCTTCCTGCTGGCGCTCTCTCTTTTTCTAAAATAAATAAATAAATATTTTTTTAAAAATTTAAAACATAAAGGGACGCCTGAGTGGCACAGTCGGTTAAGCGTCTGCCTTCGGCTCAGGTCATGATCCCGGGGTCCTGGGATCGAGCCCCGCATTGGTCTCCCTGCTCAGCGGGAAGCCTGCTTCTCCCTCTTCCACTCCCCCTGCTTGTGTTCCCTCTCTCGCTGTGTCTCTATGTCAAATAAATAAATAAAATCTTTAAAAAAATAAATAAAATTCAAAACATAAAGAGGACATTAATCCTTGTAAAACCAACTTTATAGTTAAAAAATAAAGTGATTACAGCATTTGAACCTTAAAATACAATGCAAATTTTCCTCTACTTAACAAAACTTAGTTCATTCTAGTTTTCTTCCTTTGTAATTTAGGAATTTAAGGATGTAAATGTCATTCTAAAACAATCTAGATGCATCTCAACGTTTGATATATAGTATTTTTATTATATTCATTTCACTCTAAATATTTTCTAATTTCTATGATGGTATCATTACTGACTCATTAGCTAATTATATGAATATTTCAATTTTTTTTTAAGATTTTATTTATTTATTTGACAGAGAGAGACACAGCGAGAGAGGGAACACAAGCAGAGGGAGTGGGAGAGGGAGAAGCAGGCTTCCCGCAGAGCAGGGAGCCCAATGCGGGGCTCGATCCCAGGACCCTGGGATCATGACCTGAGCCGAAGGCAAATGCTTAATGACTGAGCCACCCAGGCACCCCGAATATTTCAAATTTTTTAAACACAAACTTACTTTTTTTATTTTCCAAGTTCATAGAATGGTCATCAGAGAACATGGTCTGCTTGATAACCTACTCTTAAAGCTGAAGTTTGTCTTAAGGCCTAGTGTGTGGAGAATTTTTTTTTAATGTTATATGCACTGGAAATGAACATACAGGATTCTGTAGGTGTTCATTATGCATTGTGCTGCTCAAATCATATATAACTTTAACGTGTTTTGATTTGCCTGATCTATCAAGGGCTGTGTATGTATATTAAAATATCCCACAATAATTATGGCTTTATCATTTCTTGCCAGTAATTTTAGAAATATATGTTTTAGTATTTCTATGCTACATTACAATACCTAAACAAGTTTAGTATTCCTAAAATCATTATTTGCCTTAAATATCATTTTATCTGATACTAATCTGCTATACTGGTATGGTCTTTGGTGATGAACAAAAATTCCAGACTGACTGGTTACATTAAGACTATGTTTCTGGGGGTGACTGGCTGGCTCGGTAGAGCATGCAATTCTTTTTTTCTTTTTTTAAGATTTATTTATTTATTTGAGAAAGAGAGAGAGCATGCATGCACGCACAAGCAGAGGGGAGGGGCAGAGTGAGAGGGAGAAGCAGACTCCCCATTGAGCAGGGAGCCTGACACAGGGCTGGATCCCAGGACTCTGGGATCATGACCTGAGCCGAAAGCAGATGATTAATTGACTGAGCCACCCAGGCACACTGAGCATGCAATTCTTGATCTCAGGGTCATGAGTTCAAGTCCCATGTTGGGTATAGAGATTACTTAAAAAATAAAAATCTTTACGGGCACCTGGTTGGCTCAGTTGTTGAGCAACTGACTCTTAATTTCAGCTTAGGTCATGATTTTAGGGTCATGGGACTGAGTCCTTCGTCCGACTCCAAGTTTAGTGACAAGTCGACTTGAGATTCTCTCTCTCTTCCCTCTGCCCCTCCCCCTGCTCATGCGCACGCACATGCTGTCTCTCTCTCAAAGTAAATAAATAAAATCTATTAATAAATAAAATCCTTTTTTTAAGATTTTATTTATTTATTTGACAGAGAGAGACACAGCGAGAGAGGGAACACAAGCAGGGGGAGTGGGAGAGGGAGAAGCAGGCTTCCCGTGGAGCAGGGAGCCTGATGCAGGGCTCGATCCCAGGACCCTGGGATCATGACCTGAGCCGAAGGCAGTCACTTAACCAACTGAGCCACCCAGGTGCCCCAATAAATAAAATCTTAAAAAAAAACTATGCTTCTGGGGGTCGTTAAAACTGCAGTGACATTATGTATTAAGCCCTGGTTTGGGGACTCAGCCTAAGTGACCCCATTTGGGGCCGTGGGGCCGTGTGTGGTGCTTTTTTTTTTTTTTTTAGGATTTATTTATTTATTTGAGAGGGAGACAGAGTGAGGGAAGGGACGGGGGGGGCGGAGACGGAGAGAGAGAATCCTCAAGCAGACCCCCTGCTGAGTGCGGAGACTGAAAGAGGCTCGATCCCAAGACCCCGAGGTCATGACCTGAGCCAAAATCAAGAGTCGGTTGTTTAACCGACTGAGCCAACAAAGCACCCCATTTTTTTTAAAGATATATTTATTTGAGAGAGAGAGCATGCGGTGGTGGGGGGAGCGGGGAGAGGACAGAGAGAGAGAGAATCTGAAGCTGACTCCGCACTGAGCAAGGAACCCCATGCAAGGATTGATGATCTCACAGCCCTGAGCTCATGACCTAGGCCGAAACCAAGATTCAGATGTTCAGTGGACTGCGCTCCTAGGTGCCCTATTGCTTTAACAATCGAATTGTGTTGTTTTCCTATGTCTTCTATTTCTCTTTTATGTGTTTAATTATTTAAAAACTACTCGTCTTGGGGTACCTGGGTGGCTCAGTTGTTAAGCCTCTGCCTTCAGCTCAGGTCATGATCCCAGCTTCCTGGGATCATGCCCCGCATCAGCTCCCTGCTCAGCAGGGAGCCTACTTCTCCCTCTCCCACTCCCCCTGCTTGTGTTCCGTCTCTCGCTGTGTCTCTCTCTGTCAAATAAATAAATAAAATCTTTAAAAATAAATAAATAAATACTCATCTTTTAAGTGTCTACAGTTCTTGAGGCACCTGGGTGGCTCATTCAGTTAAGTGTCCCAACTCTTGATTTTTTTTTTTTAATTTTTATTTATTCATGAGAGACACAGAGAGAGAGAGGCAGAGGGAGAAGCAGGCTCCCAAGGAGCAGGGAGCCCGATGTGGGACTCAATCCCAGAACCCTGAGATCATGACCTGAGCCGAAGGCAGACGCTTAACCATCTGAGCCACCCAGGCACTCGTAACTCTTGATTTCTGCTCAGGTCATGATCTCAGGGTCCTGAGATTGAGCCCCACATCGGGTTCTGTGCTGGTCATGGAGCCTGCTTAAGATTCTCTCTCTTCTTCTCCCTCTGCCCCTCTGCCCCTACCTCACCACCCACCCCCATGTGTGCTCTCTCTCTAAAAAAATAAAAAATAAAAATAAGTGTCAACAGTTCTTGGGGCTCTAATATTAATGTTGCTTTCTATTGTTTCTGCTAACAGTTACAGTGAATTGTTTTTGTAATTTAGAATTGTGAACATCTTCAGGAGGGCCTCTGTGGTCTGGATTTAAAGTATGTCCCTTCAGAGATTTGCCTTTACTTCTACTAGAGCAACCTAGAGGACCATGTTCATGTCTGGAAACAGAGAAGGGCAGAGTCCTAGGCAAACTGTAGGACTAACAGATTACCTTTACCTTATCATTATAGATAGTTTGGCTTCATCCAAAAGGATATATTCTTTCAGGGGCTGGACCAGTTGTTCTTCCACAGAAACTAAGCCAGCCATGTGCCCTGCAAGAGGACAGAAGAAAGGGCCAGTCAGAACTGGACAGATGACTTCCCAGCTTACTTCACTGGGACAAAAGTGCCAATGAAAGAGGCAGGTCCCCTGAGCCAGGAGAGAGTCAGCTTTTTCTCAATCACTGGGTCTCACTGGTTAAGGAGATCTCATAGTTCCATTATTCTATCCTTCAGCTCCAAGAAAAGAGATATAGGAACTCCACAGGGATATTAACAACTGTAGCCAATCAGTGATCTCTGTCATTAGGGAGGGACCTTTATTTCATCCTTTTACCCTATGGGTAATCTTGTCTTGTAAGCTTGGAAACCATGGGGGAGAAAACCATTTAAACACAGAGGAATAAACTCTGAAGTTTGAGGTGATGAAGAAAAACAGCAGAAAGGACTTTCAGGCCATAAAATGTACTCTGCCCACAATCAATGACGTTCCACAAGAAGTGTTTGAACATTCCCAAAGGCCCTGACAATATCTACACCCCACAAGAAGAAAATACACCACAAACACCTGTTTCCCAGAAAAAAACCTTTGGTCTGTTGAGGTTCAGGCCCCTAATGGCCTCTACAAGGAAAAGTATTAATGTCTGAAAACTCCTTTCTCACTGTGTTCTAGTTGCAAGTAAACTTATTGGTGAGATTTTTCCACCCTGATAGAAAACAAGCAGGCTAATTCCTGAGCTGGGAACTAAGAATCATTTGTGGAGAATACTACCTTCCCTGGGCCATACCAACAGATGTGAAGATCTCAGCCCATGTGCAGCCCAGGAAACCAAACCAGGCCATCACTATCATGGACGTGGAGTTTCATGATCCCAGACGTCAGCATCTGCAAGGCATTTAATAACATTCACTGGACCACTACAGTTAAAAAAGAAAAAACTGACTAATATGAGGAGACTAATACAAATGCACGAACATGTGCAAACACACCCAACACAAACCAAAGTAATTGACTTGCAGTATAATAGCTTAAGGAACCTATTTTATTATATGCTCATAGACAACCAAGCAGTAGAGTAGAGCAATGAGTTGGAAAGGAACCAGACATCAGTAAAGAAGTATATTAACACCAGGATGATCTGCTAAGAATCACAAGTTAAGCAAACTATGAATTTTGGAACTAAACAGTTCAGTCCAGAAAGGAAGTGATCAAAGCTGAGCACACAATTTATAACAAAGCCAAGTTCAAACAAACAATTAACTGGTCAAAAATGATATCAAAAACGACAGAACTCAACAAGAAAAATAAGCTACCACAGACGAGGCATAATTTTAGATTTCACAACTCAGTTGTCTCTATTTAAATATGGTCCCTGAGGTCAAAGAGAGAGGAGCATGTCCTGGAAAGTTATAGATCCCTCTGGGAGCATAAGCAAGAATATGCATGAGTGAGCACATAACAAAAAAGCTATATATTCAGACTCAGGAGACATACAACATTTACTTTTTGTTTTTCGGGGTTTTTTTTTTTTAAGATTTTATTTATTTATTTGAGGGGAGGGAGGAGCATGAACAGGGGGAGGGGCAGAGGGAGAGGGAGAAGCAGACTCTCCGCTGAGCAGGGAGCCTGACACAAGGCTCAATCCCAGGACCCTGGATCATGACCCGAGCCAAAGGCAGATGCCCAACTGACTAAGCCACCCAGCCACCCCTAACATTTACTTTTTGAAGGACAAATCTCTTCATTAGTAAAATGATATATCTACCTATCATGATCTTTAAGGCCACCTCTACTTCCAAACAATTCATATGATATTTATCACATCTTGCCTCAAAAAAGAAATATAATATAGGTATATATTGTTGTAACTCTGGAGTAAAATAGCTTTCCCATTTACTAGCTGTGATGCTTTGAGCAAGTTGATTTGCCTTTTGAAGTTGTTTTTTATTCCGCAATGTGCTTAGCATAGGATGAAGATTAAATAATAGATGTAATGTGACTGGCACATACTCATCATTCTATTAAAGATAACTACAGCCATTACTGTTTCAGAAACATAAAACATAAAAAGTAAAAAGCATCTGCTTTTTTCTTATGTTGCTATGTTTGCCCAGATTCTGCCCTTGGTCTGTTTCTCCTTCTCTATCCTTTTAGTATAATAGTAACTAACATTTATTGGTGGTTACCAGTGTTCTACATATTCTGCTTATATAACCTCATTTAATCCTTGCAACAGTTCCATGAGGGTAGGACCTCTTAATTTCACTCTTCAATAAATGTGGAAACTGAGCATAGAGAGATTAAGTAACCTGCCCAAGGTCACACAGCCAGTAAAGTGTCAAAGCCAGACAATATGGCTTTCAAGTTCACGTTCTTAACTACTATGTCAAAGCTACCTCAACTAGCATACCTAAGCAGATAATTCCCGCATCTAGTATTCTGGTGCTTTGGACCAACATTTCAAAACAAGGCTAAAGCCAGGAGGGTGTTAGAACCAGCCAATGGAATTTCTGTCCCTATGGGTTCAGCCCCAATGGTAAAAGCTGCAATGACAAAAAGTGCTATATTTGTAAAACCAGTCGGTAGTGACACAGTGAGGCTCCTGCTAAGCAGTACTCTAAGATGAATTATGTCAAACACCAATGACACACATCCTTCCTATGGTAGAAGACTTTTCTATACCCACTTAGCCTTGTTCCCATCCTCTGGAGGGTAGCTAACATTTACTGTGTGGTTACTACTTTTGAAATTGAGTCTACAAAAAGACAATTACCTCACCAAGGTAACACAGAGTTGAGAATACAGGATGTAAGACATAAGTCTTTAAAGTCTAAGCACTGAGCACTTTGTACCTGGTATCAGAATGTATTTTAAATATCCCCATTGCACTCCACTCAACCTGTTCACCCAAAAAGCCATGGAATCATCTTTGACTTCTCTTTTCCTTTCATGATACACATGCAATCCCTTACCTGTCTCTACTATGTGTACCAAATGCAATAATTTCTTATTACTTTCACCACTACCACTCTCATCCAAGCTACTATAGCCTCTCTCCTGAATGAATGCAATAGTGCCTTAGCAGTGCTTTCTTCTACCTTGCCCCGTCTGTAGTCTATTCTGGACAAATGAACCAGAAGTGATCCTTCATGGTCTCATTCACAGGAAAATCCTGAAGTCCTTGCCCCAGACTGCAAGGTCCTTCATGCTCTGGCATCTGGCTACTTCATCTACTAAACCTCCCCACCCTTGCTTGTCCACTCCATTGACAGTGACCTTTCCTTTACTGTTCCTCAAAAACACCAACTATTCTCCATCCCTAGGTAGTTTATATTTATTATTACTTCTGCTTGAAATGCTTTTCTTTATTGCATTCAGGACTCTACTCAAAAGTCACTTACCAAAAAAGGACATCCCTCCTGTTTCTGTATAAAATACCAGACTCCAACATTTTCTATCCCCTTTGGCTGCTTTATTTCTCTTCACAGAAGATACTCAGAAATAACTTCTCTTCTTGTCTTCTATAAAAATCTAAGTGAGACCATGCTCAGAGCTTATAGAAGCGTAACTTCTGAAAACAGGAAAAAAAAGGTTGGTAAAGGGAGGAAAAAGACAAAAGTCTGGTTAAGAGAACTGAGTACTACACTCACGAACAAGAAAGAATTAGAGCTCAGAATTGATGGTTCTGCGGTAGCAAAGAGTACCAGGATTCCCACTCTCCAGATTGCTGAACCCCAATGTGGCAAAGAAGCAGAAAATTGTGATCTTTTAACAAAACACTGTATACGTGAACAAACATCCACATACTATCAGCAATGATCACGATGAAGTCAAAGATAAGAAGTGTTCCTTCTATTTTCTGGGGTCCTTGTTATACTTTACCACATAGACTGTGGTAGGAAATTTGCAGAGGACAGAGTCCCCATGATGACCAAGAGTAAATTTCTCACCAGCACAGCAGGGAAGAGGCTCTAAGTCTGATTTTATTTGAATTAATAAAAATTTTCAAAATATACTACTTCTTGCTTAGCAGGATTTTGTCAAGGGCTCGCTGTGCCTCCTAGATCTGGGTTTCTGTTTCCTTCCCCAAACTCAAAAAGTTCTCAGTTTTTATTTCTCCAAATAAATTTTCTGCCCCCTTTTCTCTCTCTTCTCCTTCTGGGATCCCTTTAATGCTAATGTTTTTATGCTTGATAGTGTCACTGAATTCGCTTAAACTATTTTCCTTTTTTATTACTATTTTTCTCTCCTCTATTCAGCTTGATTTGTTTTCCATTACTCTGTTCTCCAGGATGCTGATCCATTTCCTGCTTCCTATAGTCTACTATTTATTCTATCCAGTGTTATTTTTCATTTTAATTATTGAGTTCATCTCTGAATGGTTCTTTTTTATGCTTTCTATCCCTTTGTTAAGGGTCTCACTGAGGTCCTCCACTCTTCTCAAGTCCACTGAGTATCTTTATGACTACTATATTAAATACCCTATCAGGCATATTACTTATCTCTGTTTCATTTAGGTCTTTTGCTGTGATTTTGTCCTGTTCTTTCATTTGGGACATATTCTTCTGTCTCCATATTTTGTCTAAATCTCTTGGTCTGTTTCTATGTGTTAGGAAAGTTAGCTGCAACTCCTGATCTTGAAAGTAGTGACCTTATGAAAAAGAAACCCTGTAGTGTCCTGCAGGGCAATGTCCCCTGTTCACCAGAACCTGGTGTTTTAGGGGTGTCTCCTATGTGTGTGTTGCCTGAGCCCTACTGTTGTGGCTGAGCCATATTTGCCTTCAGTCCAGTCATCTGCCATGGTTCTCTTTGCCTGCTGTGGGCAGAGTCTGGACCCTGTGTTAATGGGCCAGTCTAAGGCCACCTTGGGTTTGAGTTGGGTCAGACTAGGCATTTGTCAGACCTCCAGTAAAACTAAACTGCATGGTGCTCTCACTGTATTGTCCCCTGAGAAGCTTTCATTGATGAGTAGGGCCTCCAGTCAGACCAGTTGTCTGCTCCCAGCCCACTGTTGGGGTTGCAGTTGAACTAGTGTGTGTGGTTTTCTTCCACTCTCCCTTGGGCAACAGCCAATTTGGGGTGACACTGACTTCTGTTGGGCCTGCTTGCATACTGCCATGCTCATGTGGCCCTGCTATGGACAGACTCCTGTGAGCGTGCACAGCCACAGAAGAGCATGGGAATGGGACCTGTTACCAAGCTAGATGGAGAGTGTTCATGCTAAACTGGTTCCTGTCCATATATAGGCTGGGGGACAGGAGAAGGAAATGGCACCCACCAGCTCTTGTGTTCCTGGAGAATTCTCCTAAAGATCCCTGCCCCTCCAGCACATGCTCTGAGATTAGTAAACAAATCTCCCTCCCATATACCCCAGGCATTTTCAAACTGCTGCTTCAGCAGGGCTGTTTGTTATGCTGCTTTTTAAGGAAGGGGTTCAGTTTCCTCTCATCCTCCAGCTCTCCCAGAGCTGAGCCCACTGATTTTTAAAGTTCCAAGTGTTAATCCCCACTGATTGTAAGAAGTCAGAAGTTAAGCCCCTTTGGTTTTCAAAGCCAAATCGTATATGAATTTGTCTTCCCCATGAGGGTCCCTCATGTCTGGGGTTCCTGGTGGGGGGTCTGTTCCTCTCCACACCTGCAGTGTCCCTCTCTCTCTCCCTAGGGATAGTCCTGCAGATCAGTTTGGCTCAGGACCGCGTCTCCACCCTTTCTATTCTCTTTGATGTGGCCTCTTCTCTACATTTAGTTGTGGAGAGTCTGTCTTGCCAGTTTGGGTCATTTTCTGGGCTATTTACACTGATGGGGGTATTATCTAGTTGTATCTGTGGGATGAGATGGGCCTAGGATCTTCCCATTCAACCATCCTCCCTGGAAGTCCCAAAGCACATTTTGAATGAAATACAAACTCCTGATTGTAGTCGTCAAGACTCTACATGGCCTTGTCCTTTTTTAGCAATCTAACCTCATCTGCCCCCATTCCCCTTTCTCCCTGTGTACCACACTTCTCTTTTAGTTCTTCAAAAATGTCAAGCTCTCTTATAGCTCAGTTTGTTCCCTTTACCTACAATGCTATTTCCCTTCCTCTATTCCCACTCTGATTCCTTTTAGTCCTTAGGTCTCAGCTTATATTTCACTGTCACAAAGAGGCCTTCCTTGAACATCCTATCTGAAACTCTCCTGCCCCAAGATTCTCCATCACTCTACCTCTTTGATTTCTCTTAGCAAAAGGCAGAGTTTTTCAGTTTGAATAAATAAAACAAGATCCAAATACATACTGCATACAAAAGACACCCTTAAAATTCAAATTATCTAAGACAATTTTGAAAGTATAAGAAAAGTAAAAGATAAATCATTCAAACAGCAATCACAAGAGAGCTGGAATGGCTATATTAATACCTGACAGGATAGATTTGAAAACAGGAAGTAGCACTAGAGACAAAAAGGAATATTTCGGAGCATGTGGGTGGCTCAGTCAGTTAAGCATCTGCCTTCAGCTCATGATCTTGGGGTCCTGGGATCAAGCCCCATGTCAGGCTCCCTGCAGAGAGTCTGCTTCTCCCTCTCCCTCTGCCCCTCTTCCCAATGCCCCCACTTGTGTTCTCTCTCTCTCTCACTCTCTCTCAAATAAATAAATAAAATCTTAAAAAAAGGAGTATTTCATAATATAAAAAGGGTCAATATATCAGAAAGATATCATAGTTATAAATATACAAACTTAAAGACAGCCCCAAATACATGAAGCAACAACGTCATGACACAGATACTTCAGCAACAGCTGGATATCTGAAGATCTCATTCTTAATAACTGATCTAACACTACGCAGAAAATCAGCAAGAATATAAGATTTGAACAATGTTACTGAAGAGTAGCAGAATATGTTCCCCCAAAATATGCCATTTTGGCATAAGAACTATTGTGAGCTAAAGACACTTGAAAAACAGCAGATGCAAGAAAGGCACTCTGACCTTTCCTTTTCTTCCTGAAAGCAATAGATAAAACTCCTATGGGAAAGATGCCCTTCCTATTTCAGGAAGAAAAAAAAATTCTTATCATCAAAGACAATGAGTAGAGGCCTAGACAAATCTATACAAACAGACCTTGTTAAAGTAACTCTCACCTTCTGTTAGTCTTCCACTTATTTGGGTACTTTTCCACAACTGCTACTCTTTGTTCAACCTGGTATAAAAGCACTTGATCCCATCCACGTCTGGGGTCCTTATTTCCCCATGGGGGCTCCCAAGTACATGTTAAACTCTGTTTTTCTCCTGTTAATCTGTTTTATATCAATATAACTCTCAGGCCCAGACAGAGACCATAGAGAGTAGAAGTGAAGTTTTGCTTCCTCTACAATATCAATCAGTTTGACCTGACATCTATAAAATATTCCACCAAACAGCACTAGAATACACATTCCTTTCAAGATCACACAAAGCATTCTCCAGGATAGTTCACAAGCTGAATCATAAAATAAGTCTCAAAAAATTTAAAAAACATTTAAATCATACAAAGTATGCATTTCAATCACATGAAATTATTAGTATTTTTTAAAGATTTTATTTATTTGACAGAGAGCAAGAGCACAAGAAGGAGAAAGAGGCAGAGGGAGAGGGAGAAGCAGGCTCCCTGTGGAGCAGGGAGCCTGATGCAGGGCTTGATCTCAGGACCCTGGGATCATGACCTGAGTGGAAGGCAGATGCTTAACTGACTGAGCCACCCAGGCACCCGGAATTATTATTTTTTAAAAGATTTTATTTATTTGAGAGACAAAGTGAGCATGGGGGGGAGGGGCAGAGGAAGGGGGAAAAGCAAAGTCCCCACTGAGCAGGCAGCCCAACTCGGGGCTCAATCCCAGGACCCCCAGGTGGCCCAATCACATGAAATTAAATTAATAACTAAAAAAAATAGCAAAAACTCCTGGACATCCTCAAATATTTGGAAACTGAAAAACATACTTCTAAAAACCCATTGGTCACAGAAGAATTTGCAATGGAAACTAGAAATACTTTGAACTTATTGAAAACAAAAATAAAATACGTCAAAATTTATAAGATGTAGCTTAAAACAATACTTGAAAGGAAATTTATAGCTTTAAGTGCTTCTATCAGAAAAGTCTCAAATCAATAACCTAAGCTTCCACCTTAAGAAACTAGAAAAAGGGCAAATTAAACTAATCAAAGCAAGCAGAAGAAATGAAATAAGCAGAGCAGAAAGCAATGAAAGAGAAAACAGAAAATAAAGGAACCCAAAAGTTAAAGATAGATTAGATGGTCAGAAAGACAGACACATATGCACAAACATACAGGAACAAAAGAAAGAACAGCACTACTGACCATGCAAGAATGTTAGGGATTATAAGGAAATATTATAAACATCTTCATGCCAACAGAGCAGACAACTTTGATAAATGAGAAAATCCT